GTGGTGCTGAGCCGGCCCGCCTGGCTCTGGGGCGCCGAGATGGGCGCCAACGAGCACGGCGTCTGCATCGGGAACGAAGCCGTGTGGGGGAGAGAGGAGGTGGGCGGCGACGAAGCTCTCCTCGGCATGGACCTCGTCAGGTTGGCACGGGCTGTGGTGGTCAACGGCGCCGGATCCGCGCTTCTCGTTTTGATGCCTTTGTGTTGAGTTATATGGGGAAATGGGAGCTTTCGCTGTCAGAAGGCGCGTCTGCCACTTCTGCGGTTCTGGCCGTGCTTAAAAATAAGCATTTCTTGGCACAGGAGTTACATCTCTGCCAGGAGCTGGGAGCCCGTGAGAGGTATCGGGTGCTACGACAGAATCTTGTCAAGGAAATCATCAAATGTTTTCCTTTCTACAAAGTTTTAGTATTAACTGAAACAAGACTCTTCAGTAGAGCACAGCTGGACTTCGGGAACTAGTGTTTGGGCCTTTTTTTAGGGTCTGTTCTCATTTCCCATTTCCCCTATCTTTCGCACGCATATTTTTAAGTTTCAGTCTTGGCTGCACATCTCCACATAAATGACATCTCCTTGTGCCTGCCTTACTGGGTGCCAGTGTAACTCGTTAACCTACGGAAGGCAGGCAGTTCCTCTTGGTACTGTTTCCCCCCAGTCCAGTACCCTCACGGGACTTGCAGGCGTTTCCTAGGAGCCCTCTCCCCACCTTTCCGTATTTCCATTTGGTTGTTTTTCCCCATTCAAGGACACAGGGGACCCACTTCAAACAAGCCCTTTAAGTGACTTGCTCCTTTCTCTCACCTGATCATACAAGCATCAGGCACAGATAGAAATAACATTGCAATTCAACTTGAACACCCAGGCTGAGTAATTGTACATAAAGTTTATCATTCCAAACATAACATCTTCCTTTTGTTTTAGGCTTGGACTCGAGAGAGCGGACACAGCTGAAAAGGCTCTTACTGTCATAGTTGATTTGCTAGAAAAATATGGACAGGGAGGAAACTGTATGGAGAGCCACATGGCATTTACATACCATAACAGTTTTCTCATAGCTGACAGAAAGGAAGCATGGGTGCTGGAGACATCAGGAAAATACTGGGCAGCAGAAAAAGTAGAAGGTACGGGTGATGCTCTTTGTTTTAAACATTTCAAAGGCAGTGACAATTAGCAGTTCTCCACTTTTCATTTACCATTTCATTAAGGCATCAAATTAGCCTCTAGATATGTACAGGAGTTGCTTCCTAGGGCATCAGGGTGGAGTGGCTAGCAGTTTCACAGAGGAGCTGGGTCACAGGGGGTCTTTTCAGACTCAGAGATGACCAGTTGTGCACTTGGAAAACAGAGGATAACAAGAAGGTCAGCATGAGAATGACAGCGGTATGTACGGGCTCAAGGATGGTGGCGATCGATGACAATTTCATTTGGTGACAGAGTGGTACTGACAGGATCGGTGCATTGGGCCCTGAAGTGGCTGATTCTTCCAGTGCACTTAGAAGGACAAGCTATGTCTTTGGAGGTCTAAGAGGAAGAATGTAAAGGTGGGAATAATCAGGACGGAAGCTGAAGTACGATGTTGGCAATAGAAGTAGATGAGTCAGAACTGAGTGGCAGTAGAACTTCAACCAGAAGGATACATACAGCCGGGGAGAGAGGGCCAAAAATAAACCACAGGACTCAGATCTTGGAGGAAACTCTTCAGTGCATAATTTACTTTAGTAAGCTAATTGCAAACAAAATACCAAGAAAAAGCATTTGATATATTAAAATGATTCTTTTCTCACCTTACAAACAGGGGGCGTACGGAATATTTCCAACCAGCTCTCTATCACAACCAAGATTGACAGAGAACACCCAGAACTGAAGGAATATGCAAAAAGCAAGGGCTGGTGGGATGGGGAAAAGGAGTTTGATTTTGCTGCCGCATATTCTTATGTAAATACTGCCAGAATGACCACAACCAGAGGCCGATATTGTGAAGGCTATAAACTTCTGAACAAACACAAAGGTATCATTTTTTTATATATTGTTTTTAAAGATATACAAAGCATTTAGTGAACTACATTAACTTAAATCATAAATGATTAGACAGCTGAAGTGGGCAATCCCACTTCAAAGTGATTTGGTGAACCAGAATTTATTAGAATAACTTTTTGCCTGAAGGAGAAACGCCGAACTTGAAGTCTTCTACCCATTTTTTTTCAATTTGTTGATATGGAAAAATTAAAACAAGCGTCAAATATCAAACACGCACAGCTACAGAAACAACACTGAGAGGTTGTATTATGACCGTACCACTAAATACTCTGTAAGACCTAGCTCTGAAACATTTTGGTAGGCTACGTATTATTACTGTACCTCTAAGAAAAAAAAATAAATTCAGAGGCTAAACCAGACTCCCAGAGGTTTGCAGCCACAAACAGAACCTTATGAACAACTTCAGCTTCAGTCAGGTACCATTCATATAGGCCTAAGACAATAGCATACATATCTTGCATTTATTTTTTGAGATTGGTTTTTAAGTCTTTGTAGTTTCACTATAACTGCTACTCTATCCTTGTGTAGTCCAATAAAACACACTGAGAGCAGAACAAAATAACTTTCTGTACTCTAAGCAGGTGCTCCTCATCACTAACTTATTTTTCAGACCTCTACAGAAAGAAGTTATTAACTTCTCTTCTAACAGCATCCGCTAGGCAGGCTTTTGCTGCGTCTGCATTCACTTGGTCATTTGAAGTAATTAATCTGAACCAAAATTACATTGCACCCCTGTGCTTTTTTATTTATTTGGCTGAGCTCTGCCAGACCAGGCTTAGCATTTACTTAATGCACCAGAATGAATTACTTTTTGCTGTCCTGCTCTAGTGATCATGTAAATCCTGCATTCATTTTGGGAATTGCAGGTTCTGAGTATTGAAAGCATTTTCATAATACCTGTATTTACTTGTATTATAACAATGCTGAGATTCTATCAGTGTTTTCATTCTAAATCCCCATTTTCAGGCATTTACCTGAGCCATTTTAAAACTCACACGGTGTTCACGTTATCAGCCTCATATGGTTTCAGTTTGTTTACATTTATTTTAAATAGGTGCCCTAACTAAAAGCTATTTGGTTTACAGCATCAGTAAAATCACTGGTTTCTTAATCTACCCTTCCCAGCTTTTTCACTCAGTGGCATTACAGGTTTTTTTTCCAGGCTGCCTACCACATGAAGACCATTTTTGGATAAACATTATTTTACATTTCAAAAAACAGGGAATATATTTCAGGAATACAAAGTAATGAAAAAGTCTAGTGGAAAATATGCAATACCTTCTTTCCTGCTGGACAAGTTGCCAGTTTGCAGTTGACAAAGTGATTATTGCTTCTTTTAATTTGTTTTATTCATTTAGTTTGCTGATTTCTTGAATTCTCTGACTTTCCCAGGCAACTGTGGGAATACTTGAGTGTTTCCTTGCTGAAATTGTAGCACTGCATGCCTGTCTACAGGCAATCTGAATTCTGTATAAAAAAATAATATTGGAGACATCTGAATTAGCAGCAGAGTGATTATTTTAAGAGGAAACGGCAAGGCAGTTTAAAAAAAAGAATCTTTATGCAGCTAGAACTTCACTGAGGGGGATACTAAAAGATTAAATGGTAGAAGATACCTTCAAGTTAGAAAAAACAGTGAATGACCTAGCATTTTTCTGCCATGGGCATATGTTCAACTGGTACACCAAATTTAGAAAGAAAACTGCTACAAGTGCTGCCTGTTAGAATGTTGGATTGCCTAGTGATACCACGTCAGTATTTAAGCTTCAGTGTACACTACATAAACAGCAATATCATTTGAACACTAAATGTGGGGGCATCCGTAGAAAGGGTTTTGTTTCATCTAAGTGAGAAGAGTTATTTTCGTAGAGACATTTGGCACTATACCTCACATAGGTAATTGATTAAGACTTCTTTGCAAATGGATGTACTATTGTAGTTTCTGTTGATTCTGAGTACAGAACAAGATGTTACTCCAGTGCATCCTTTCAATTGTCAACTTGAAGCCTAAGCGCTTTAGAAGGTCAGATTCTTAAAAAAAAAAAAGTGACAGTCTTGGCATTTCATTTCAAAGTTACACACAAAATCCATGCACAGTTGTTATTATTTTTATATTTCCAAAGCAAGCTAGTGGTATTAACTGTGTTCAAATACCAATAACTACTATAGTGATTTATCTTAACTTCCCCACAGTGCTCAGAAAGTTCAGCCTTTAATTCAAGCTACTAATTTTCGTCTGAAAAGTTACTGTGGGAACAGCCATTTGCTAGCCATATGTATTTTACCTTTCTGGGAAACATCATGTGTTGTCATCCTGCCCCTTTTCTAAGTCATAAATGTTACAGCTCATTATCAGGTACTCTTTGAAATAAATATTTTGGGGAAAACAATAATATTTCTAAGTATGTTACATATTAAGGGATGCTGTTAGGAGGATTTTTTTTTTTCTACCAACATGGACAAGCTAAAATCGGCCTTGCCTGTTAAAGGAAAAGCACCCAGTTGTAGAGAACATGCCATTTAGTGGGTATGATAAGTAACACTGTGTGCAAATAATTGTATTGTATCTTAAATAGGATCTATCACTTCTGAAATAATGATGAAAATTCTTCGCGACAAAGAGAGCGGCATTAATATGGAAGGTGAATTTATGACAACTGGAAGCATGGTGTCTGTATTGCCTCAGGAGCCTAATCTGCCATGTATTCACTTCTTTACTGGAACTCCAGATCCTGCGAGGTGATGTAACAGAAATCAATTAGGATAAAAAGTTGCAAATATCTAATGAAAAGTGTTGCAATTTGTCTGATTATATTCCTTTTTGCTTTGTTTTTGTTTGTTTGTTTTTTCCTGAAAAAAACAGAAATCAAAAAGTAGGAGGAACATAATGTACATCACGTACATTAATGCCATCTACCAACCTACCTAGTGAAACACTGCTGTGACACTGAGTTAAACATCAGTTAGGAGGCATTTGTTTGGGGTTTTTTTTAAGACTTCTTTCTTAAGGAATTAGAAGAATGGGGGAAAGAACAGCAATTTACTGACTCAACAATTTTAACAAAACTGTATCAGTAAAGGATCTCTATTCTATTTTCTCTTTCTAGGTCTGTATTCAAGCCTTTCATTTTTGTGCCCAATATTACTCAGTTATTAAAAACTAGCTCCCCTACATTTGGTGATCATGATCCAGTTAAGAAGCAACCACGTTTTCAGAACAAGCCAGATCGAAGACATGAGCTCTATAAAAAACATGAAAGCGCTGCTGTAGTTATGGAAACTATCGAGGTACGTTGATTAAATTAGATTTCAGTGCAAGCAGGTGGTTTATATAAGCTCCTTGCTCACATTTTGTTAATGTGATACCATTTAATGCCCTTTGGATTGTGAAGAACATTGTAGTGCACCAGAAGCCCATCACCTTGCATCTGGCCGGCATATGTTTCAAAAACTAGAAATTGCAACAGCACTTTGCTGTACTCCCAGGCCTAGCCACAGACAACTATCTGTACTGCTCGTCTTGCAAAGAAGCAGGCTACACATACTCCTGCACTAATCAGATAACGGGGAGATGCTTGAGCAGCCACAGGCATGTATGCAGCTCCTGGTAAAGGTACTTAAAACTCTTCAGGTCTTAGGCAGTAAGGAGGGCATGCCGTTTGTCATTGCTTGGTAGGCCCAGGAAAGGAAATAGGACCACAAAGATAGCTGGACGCAAAGGTGAAGCAGGGAGGTAGTTGCTGACTTTTAACAGTAGCATCTCCCCTATTTACAGGTACATGTTCTAAAAAATAAGACATATGCCCACTTAAGTTTTGGCAGCGTAAATATCTAGAGGAGCTTTAATTTTGTTTATTTTCAATCCACCAGACAAGGATATAGGGAGATGAAGTGAGTGCTAGATACTACGAAAGATAGCTAAGAAAACCTGTCATGGTGCTAACTTCTACCAACACAAACTTGTACCCTAGAAACTATTAAGAGGTTAAAGTAAGGACAGTAAAACAGAATTTTGTTAGGTTGAACGCTACATAGTTTTTAGTGAAATATGTTTCTTTTTGCAGGGCAAAGGTAAAGAGATGCTGAAAGAGATACAGGAGTTGGAGAAACAGAAGATAAGTGAAATGGAATCAATCCTGCAGAATGGATGTCTTGACACTAACCAAGTGGTTAATCTTTTTTCACAGTGTGTAGAAGAAGAACTCAAGATATATAGCTAAAACTACTATTTGAATGTGGTAAAATTCGGTTTTACGATTAAGTTTTCTAATTAAGTGGCTATACAGATTACATCCTATTTTCGTGATACCAATTAGTATGGGCAGTTTTAAAGATGCAAATTCAAATTCAGACCAAACAGCTTTTGGTTGTATGAAGCAATGCTGAAAAGGCTCTTAAGAGCTAGGCAATGGCTTTGTCTGTATGTGGCATAAAGCTGTCAGCGGAGATTGACTTTGCCAACAAACAGATATAATTAGAATGTGACAGCTTGACTAAATTGTGGAACAACCCCATCTCTGAATGAAGAATGCTAACTCAGATTTGGAGAACTCAGTTCTAGTGTACACACATGTAGCTTTTATAGTCAAGATAACTGTAGCAGAATTTCACATTGCCTGAATTAAAATGACCATGCTGAAGGACTTCCTAAAACTGCACTGAATAAAAAGGAAAGTGATATGCAGCTCAAGTTAAGATTGATATTTAGCTGTTTGATAAAACCATTCTAAGATATATTTCAAATATGAACTTTCTACTCCTTCACTGTAAAATGAGGCTGAGTTCAAGGTATGTTAAAACCAAATCACATTTAAAATTTTACCACGATTTCTTGTGAAATCTGATTACATGGAATTCAACAGTACAAGCATCCTGCAATTTACCACAAAATTTTCCCTTCCCTATTTTCCCCACCCTGCTACTTAAAAATAAATTAACTTATTTACATACCAGTATGATTATTGTCAAGTTAATTCTACAATACGCTTTGTAACATCATACGGGAGTTTTTTAGATGTTTCTTGAATTGTTACTTTTTAAAATTGGGCAACAAGAAAGGAAGAGGTTGGGGTATGCACATATATACATGTACTCAGTGGGACACTTAAAAGGACTTTTAAAATATTTTCACTTCACATAAAGCCTTTTAACCATGACTTGTCTTGCCAAAATTACTAGACTATGGAGTTAATTTATTCAAGCTTTTTGCCCTGCCAGGAACTCTTCCTCCCTGATCCTGTTTAAAAGTAATGGTCAGTATCTGACACTACTTTTATTATCCATCTGTGGCAAAGGACAAACTGAGCAAACAACAAAGAAGATTCTGGCTTTACTACATGATCAAGCGGTAAAAAGTATGACTGGAAGGGGAAAAAAAAAAACACAAACCCAAACCAGCACTTTTGCAAGCCTTCGGAAGTGAACATGTAACATGAAATGGAGCATCAGAGCTGCAGTAGCAGTGTATGACATGACACAGCATCCCCACAGAAAGACACAGTACACCACAGAAAGACCATTCTTTGATGATTTTTCTATATTTCGTCAGTTTCTAGAATCATCTCAGATGCTAAAGATGAGGCTACACACATATATCTCATTCTATTCTCGTACTGGTAAAAAAAAAATAAATTGCTATATTGACCTGTTTTCCTCATGGGTGTCTGTATCTGACAATCATGTATATCTTTATCCTATTTTTGATCATCAGCTGTTCCACACTAGCTCTTTGGTAACTTCAAAGCATCAATAAATGCCAGGTAAAACTCTGCTGGAAACCAAGGTATGTGTCAAGTTTACAGGTGGCATAGCAAAATGAGAAGCAATTTTATGCTACAAGGCAAATATAGTGAAGGTGGTGGAGCAGTGAAGCAAACTTCTTGGCCACTTAATCAGGGAGTGGAATTAACCAGGTTAAGCATATTGGTCTGGTTGTAATATAGGCAGATACTGTCCAACTGTTCCTCTGGTTTCTGTGCTGTTTTTTATTTACTGGTCTACAGGATACAAAGTAAGAACAATGTGATGCGTGGAGATAGACCAGGTGATAGCTAACAGAGTACAGGACATTTTGTTACCTTTTTTTTCTCCTGGGATTCCATTCTCCTAGCACACATGCAGTATAAAAACAGAAAACGAATATGAGATCAGGAGGAATAAATAACCCTCCCTCCCACAACCATATAAAAAAAAAAAATATCAAAAAATCAGAATATCCTCTAGAGGGCAATCTTTGCATGTATTTCGTCCTAGGAATACATCTTACAGTTTATTTTAAAATGTCCAGAGCTTTATGAAGGATCATTATTAAAACCAAAAAGACCTACCTAGAAAACTAAAAGTTTTATATCCACCCCTGTCCATTATCACAGATTAGTGCTAGAAAACAGATCCAGTGTTTCACTGGAGACTCCTCTGGACTTACTTTTGGATGTTTTCATGGAACTGTAACTTCCAAGTTAACCAAGATTCATCCCATACTAATGCACCTTCAAAATAAAAGAACTCATTGCACCACTGACCACATCTTTAAAGCAAAGCTATTTCTAACCACCAAAAATTCACACATCAGTAGATCAACTATTGACATACATCAATTTGTCGGCTATTTTAAAACTTGCCAGTGCTCCTTGGTGGATGCAAATATTTATCAGATAAAAGAGTTACTTAACCTTCTGATGGTATTCAAAGTCTATTCTTAGCTTCCAGAAGTACCTAGTGATATAGAAATAGATATCCCGTATTTCATTCCTAGTTTCCTTAGTCTATTTATTAATGACCATAGATTCTCATCAGACTAACGGGTATGATATCAGCAGTCACAATGTTGTAACAGTTAATCTAACAGAATTTGGTGTCAGTTGTTAATTAAAGGCGTTCTCTTCATAAGATCTGTAACAGGGAGCTTTCTCCAAGCAGAAATTACGAATAATTTCTTACTTAAAACAAGTACATGGTGTTCAAATCTAGGGAACAGCAGAGCCATTATGAAAAGGGAGGCAGGGCAGGACTTTATGATGAAAACGTGAAAGAAAAGAGTGGAAGAACAATGACTATGTATAGGCCCATAAAACTGACCTAAGATCAAATTCTTGAACATCTGAAGAATTAAAAAAAAAAAAATATAATAAAATGCTGCATTGGGTAAGTAGAAGATAACTGACGTGTTCCTAAAGATGTTTAGGCTGTTAGATGAAAACTGGCATCTTTGTGTGAACACCCATTAACTAGTCCTCTGTCTACTTCAAAAGCATCAAAGGTGGATTTAAGAAACACCAAATTTTAAAGCCAAGAGCCACTTTAACAAATCTCTCAGAAAAACCCATTTGTTGTAAATCTTGACATGCACACGTAACCCTCCCACACCTCACATCACATCAAAGCTCAGAACTCTGAAATCAAGTAACAGATTTATTGACAAGTTACAGTATTTAGAAGCCAGACATACTCACGGCTTCTGCTGTTAAGTCACATATACATAATTATTCCAAAATACTTGATGTAGACATCTTCAGCAGTTGTAATAGAAATAGACTACTGTTTTCCTTTGTGGCCACAGCCTTATACAAATGTCAATTATTTTGTTGTTGGAAAACATTAAAATATGTTCATTGGTATAGCATACATATGCAGTAGGATGCAGTTATGTTTCTGTGTACACTGCAGAAGTGTAATAAGACTGACAGTAAAATGAATTATTTTTCCAGTATATCTTGCATGGAGTTATAGCTACCATAAAACAACTGTTTCTTGAACAGTAGTTTATGCTGCTAAAATCACTTTTAATTCTTAAAACAACACAGATGCATAAGTAGCTATAATAAAAATATCTGTGTACAAAAAAAAAGAAAAAGGAAAAACTTGTTCTAAAAAAGATGACAAGTTATTCATATGCTTGAGCAAATAATTTTTTTTTTTAATACCTGGGTTCCTTTCCCTCACTATATAAAAATTTTATATAGACATATAAATGCTGTTCTTGCAGTTTTAAAAGGACAGCATAATGGGTATCAGATACTACAGTTTGTCTTTAACCTTTTCAAAATACTGCAGAAGACACACAGATTCTCACATTCTGCCTTCAGTGCACAGGAGTCTGAATGACACTAGAGTAACTACTTCAACATCGTAGGGGGATACCTGAGGCTTATTAGAAACCTGTGTTAGGCAACCAATACTAAAATTTCAGGAACTTTAGCTACTCTAAACTGTAACTTCCATGTTCAGTTAGGATTCTTTATATAATAGATCTAAAAGTCATTGTATTTCATTTAAAAAGATTTTATGAGTTGATAAAATTTTTCATCTTGACTTGCACAGGTATCCAAGGCTTCCTTAACATCTTTATTTGAGGCTGGCACTTCTGAATGAAACTGGAAAGGCCAACTTCAGGAGGTAAAAATCTACTCTTGAAAGAGCTGTCACTACCACCATAAAGCAAAACTTCAGAACCAATTGTTTGTATGAAATTCCACTACATCATTTCCTAATTTGGGGGAGCAGTGGGTGTTTTTATATGTTTTTAAGATTTGATAAGTTTGTACAAAACCATTATTTATTCCACTCAATATTTCCTCAGCTTTAATCCTCTGACATTGGAATCATCTTCACAGCAATTCTACTTTTACAAAGGGAGGACTTTAAGGGATAAACAAACTACTTGATATGAGGTGCAAACAGCTAGAAAAAGTTCCTGGTGTTAGACAAGAGTAGAGTAGTAAAAACTGGGGTATGACAGAAGAAATCCTACTTCTATTAAGTCAGAGGGAAGCCTGACTGTAAACAGGAATCAATTATTTCATCACACTAAAGTATGGAAAACATAGAGCAACATGAAAAATATGTCTCATTCATGTCTGCGTTTTTTTTTTTGTCATTGTGGCACCAGTCAGTAAAGCTGCTGTTATAATGCCTCTGTAATACGACAGCGATATACATCTTTTTACTATTTGTTTTCCTCAAAATGCTCTAAATGCAGAGCATCTTGTTTTCTTCTAGTTGCATTCCAGTTGGAACATTCACTAAATATCACTTGCTACTATGTCCTTTAGAATAGACACAAGTAGAACCACACCTCTTAATTTTACATGAGAGAATAACACAATTCTCCGAGAGCCCTGAGAAAAAAAATACTTCCAATTTCAGTGGTGAAGGCAGCAGAAGTGATCACATTCACCCCTAACTGCCTGTCCTCTGCCTACATGCTCAGATCAATGGCTCTCAACTGCAACTGATCTCTTAGGAATAAAGCGGTAATACAAATATTCATCCCGAAATTCAAATTCATTTGTAATATGCTGGACGACGCCTCCTTTCATCAGTCTGTCTCCATACATCACAGCTTCACCACGGTCAGAGGCAAGGCCAACTTGCATGAGCCAGTTCACCAGGTCACAGCCAAAGAAGATGCCAGTGGAGATCTTTGCACCACACCTGTATGTCAAAGGAATGATTCACCCACATGTTCTGTAAATCTGGTATCACCACTGCACGATGGGGAAAGGCAAGGAAAAATAGCAGGAAACAAGGAAAGACATCATGATAGTTAAGAGCATGTTAGAAGAGAATTTGCAAGTTTTGTATATCAGGGACATGCCAACGTTCACTACCTTTTCCTACAGACACTTCAATGAGAAGCAAAATGTACGCACAAAGTTATTTTAGGCTTGTGCAAATAAACTTCAGTGAAAAAAAGTAGCAATTTTCCTAAAAGCAGACACAAGGTACTTTTATTTCTTGGATACTTACTTCTCATGTACTCATTAGCATGACTTTCTGCAACAAAATATCTGATATGAGTGCAGCGTGCCTCAGCAACAGGAACTCAATCTGCACTTTAATTCTATTTTATAATTTCCCTACAGCTTTAAACAGACACTAACTGCTTACATATATTGTAAACAAAAACCATTTAACTTGCATATCCGGTTAAATATTTACCACACAGGCAGTACTAAGAATAAACAAAACCTTGACAAGAAGACTAAACTAGTTTTCTTTTACATATTTATGAGGCAATGCCACTAACATCTACCTAGTTGCAGTAAAAATAGCATTCAGAAATTTACCTACAGCAATAAATGTTTCTGGTTATCTAAAATCTGCTCTATGGAACCCAAGTGCAGAGTTTCTGAAGATGATTAACAGCTATACAAGACAGCAATGCCCAAACTTCCTTTTTTTTTTTTTTTTTAAGTTAGAAGCAGCAGTAACACAGACAAGCGTTAACATCTATTAGCAGAGAAGCAAAAATTAAAATAAATAAAAATCCATGACTACAAGGTCTCAGTTACAGAATGATTAAAACAAAGGGGATAGGATCAAGGTAGATGAATATTTAGAGTGAGAAGATAAATGCTTTCTTTTAACTCACAAGAAGAAATAGGACATGAAACTAGTTCCACGCAAACATAATATTAAAACAATGAAGCAACAAAGGTCAGATTTTTATGTATTCTCAGGTGGATATATGATTATAAAACCAACAAAACCCAACCAAATGAACAGCCCAAAGCCCAGGAAACCACAATAGCAGCAGAGGTGCAGGAAACACAATTGTAAAACCTGTCCTATTTCAAAACAAACATTTTCTGATACAACTTTTACTATACGGCATGAAAGAAGCAAGTCCTTGAACTGCCATAGTTAATTTTTCCCAAATGTGTAACTTTATTACTTTATTTCTTATGGAACATTACTGACTTCTGAGGAGACTGAAGGAAATCATGACGTTGTCAAATACAGTTCTGGAATGTGGTTTCAGACTATGACCGTTAAAAGACCACCCCAAATTAGTCCTACTTAAAAGCTCAGATGATGAGAAAAGTAGAAGTGTTATGTTAGAACAATTCTTCGTGTCTCCATTTCATACAGTAAATATTTAAATAAAGGCAGAATCTTTCTCTTGCTCCTGCTGCTTGTCTGTGTTTCTCTTCTTATCCACCTACACGTACCTGAATACATAATCCTTCACTTGGGTATCATAATTTGCCACTGAAAGCTTTGCTGATCTCATAAATTGAGGTTTAAGCCTCACAAGAGGAATGAGCAAAAGAAATTGTATGAACTCAAAAGGTGTAGAGATCCTAAAAACACTGTAATCTCACGTATTGAGTGGCCTCTGAGTACACACTGACATCAGTTGCAACAGTTTCGCCTCCTGTAAAAGCTATTTATTAGTAAACTTTCAGTCACATAAGTACTGACACCTTCTTAATCTCAAAACAAAGCAAATGAAGGGTCTCAAGTCTGACAAAACTCAGACACGTGCATTCTATTACAGGCATTACCATATACATTTCTTCAGAAAGATTTTCTCTCCTGAACTCCAGTGAAATGCAAAAACTGGGGCAATGCCTTAATGATGCAAAACTTTTTATACATAAAACCTAGATGGGATAATGTGATAACTTGCACCTCAATGTTTCAGTGTGAGACTAGAAACGTTCCTCTGTTACTGCTAAATTCTTAAGCCTCACCTTGTGGTCTGAATGCCACAACAGGAATCGCCCACAGACAGATTAAACTGCTTTTCATTATTTCCAAAACGTGAGCTATGACCTTTGTAACAGGTTACATGTGCAGGGAGGAACCTTACCTTCTGCCTCTGACAATACTTTTGACACAGTGATCTCTGTGATAACGAACAAACTGTTGACAGGTCATCCTGATTTCCTCAGGTACAGAGGGATCTGTATGCCCTGCTGCTTCTCTTCCTCCCCAGAGAAACTCAAGTCTTAGGAAAGGAAAAAAAAAAAAAAAAGGAAAAAAGAACAAAAATGAAAACCAGCAAATCAACCAGAGGCATTTTTAAGGAAAATACAAATAATAGAACGGAACTCATAGGAAGCTTATCACCACCGTTTTACTGGTTTTGTGCCCAATATTTTATATACAGCCTTCTTAATACACATGTATGGCCTTTAAACACCAAGAAGCTTTATTCTAGGCTCAGGCAGAAGGAAAGACAGAGAGCAGTTGGGAGCTAGCTTTAGCTGCTGGATTCACATCACAGCCAGCTAGCTCTAAGTTAAAGATGGCTTTGGACAACTTACACCTCCAGAGTGAAAATGTCCATCCACACAAAGTACTTGCATGAGGTTATGAATACAGGGCTTTACAACAGTGATGACAGAATCTGGTTCAGCATTCACATCTAAGTTCTAATTTATCAGCTGAAATTATTTCTGAAGATCCATCATCTCACTGATCCAATAATATACTTCACCATCATTTGCCAAAGATTTTGTTTATAGGGAGCCTGTGGGATTTTTGTCTTTGGGAGTGTCATTAGGACAGCAGTAAAAACTCATGCACAGTGAACTGCAAGCAGCTCTCTGCAACTAGGGGGGAAAAGATATTTGGAAGACTGAACAAATAGGAAATGGAATGCAATGGCACTGAACACTCAATACCCTTTAAAAATGTTTATTGTTAATCAAGTCTATAGGTGTAAGTGTAAAGATCCTATTTACCTTCTTTTGAATGGTAGAATGATTAAATGCTTATCTAAGCCAAAAATACCAAAACAAATGAAGCCCTGGAGGAAAAAAAAACAACAGAAAAAGCAACATTAAGAAAAAACTTTGGTTTCTAAGAAACAGAAATAAAATGTTAAAAACTCATTGCCAAAACACATGTGAAAAGTATCCCTCTTCTTGAGATATCATTCAAAATGCATTTTGTTTCTGCTTTGATTTTTCATTTGGGTCTTAAAAAGACAGATTAATGCATAACAGTCCATCAAAGAAACTCTTCAAGAAACAGTTTGGTAAACCTAATACTGCGAGATCCCACCTAACACTTAAGGATAACTGACTATCCTTACATGGCCAGTTATTTAAATCTGTCTTTGTTAATGTTAAGGAAAGAACAGACTTAGTGTAATTTGAGTGCTAGAATCTCCCTAGTTAACTCATTTCTCTGTGCGACTTTTGTATGAAAACTACTATAGTTACTTGATCCTGCAGTGCACCTTGTAGGCACACCTGTGCACAGATCTGTAAAACATTCCTCTAGTATGTTTATTAACACTGCATTGCTTTCACCTTCATAGATAACAAACCCACCTTGTGTCACTTTGCACAGACATAGGCTATGGGCAGCTGGAACAATTATACATCTAACTGTCAGCTTAGTTAATGGTTCTGTAACCGAAACTAAAGAGATAATAACTTAAAGCCTTATAGCAAAAGTATCCATGTAGCCATCTTGCATCTATTTAGTTATACTGGTGTAACTGCATCGAAGTGAAATCAGTGAAACTTTCTGGTACAAATAAGGCTAAAATCCTACTCAGTTTCCATAAGCATTTAGCATTCAGTTGTCATTTGTACCTTTGAAAGTGTTCACACACATAAAAGACACGCATTACGATAAGAAAGCTATCAAAGCAAAAGAATAAGCTTGAGGAAAAAAAGGGAACACAACATAAGGAGCTGGTGACTTCAGCATTGTTTGAGGACTTCAACTTACAGTGCTTGTAACAGCATCTGCTGCAACACCCACTAACAAAGTCATTTTCAGAACAAATATTGGTAAGTACCTGACCAAAATTAAACACAGCACAGAAGAACTGCAATTCCACATATAGCCTTCCAGGCTCTTGGTTGAACAGCCACCACAAACAACTGGAAAGATTCTGTTAATAAAAAAAACAACAACAACAAAACCCACAAACCTAACATGACTGTTAAAAATCAAAAGCACTCTTTTACTCTTCACATGCTAATAGATTCTGTTATAATTTTCACCGTCTTTATTTAACAAATTATTCAGATAAAGGCAAATAAGAGGGAATAAATACCTTAAAACATCATTTTAGTTAGGTTTAATAGCTAGGGGAGGAGCTTCTTTGTTTTTTTAAAAAATAATGGAAAACATAGCAGTGCAGAGGTCCTGCGGCTTTATGTGTTTCGATAAGGAACTTGCCTTAAGCATACTTAGGTATTCAACCTAACACAGACAAGATTAGCCCAGGCAGATTTGCAGTATTTGTCTTTAGGCCTGTTTAGCCGAGACCAGCGCTTTCTACATATTTTCTGCATAGTTAAGATTGCGTAAAGCTGAAGCACATACCACTTCAGCTATTTTAAATGCCTAACAGAAGGAAAAAAACCTCCAAAGTTAACTCCTTTGGGTGTAAAGGCAAATTCTATAACGTAACTGGTCTCATTTCATAGTATTTATGTAATCATTTAGATACAACTGAAATAGAGGCTAACATTTGGGACACCTCTTAGAGAAGATGTAAAAAAATTTATTAGCATGGAATATTTGATACAGGAAATTTGAGAGAGGGTAAACTTTCATCTTGTAATTTAACAGAACCTGAAAAGCAACAGTAATAGCTATTGCATTACATGGTTGCGTATACTGTCCTGCCTTTCAGTAGTACATATTTGTGCCATAGTATTTTCCATTTTAAATAAAAATACTTGGCCCCTAATTGTCATCCACAAGAAGCTCAACTTTGAGCCTTTCATTCAGAGACAGTTGTTTCTCATCTTTGTCACAGTTAAAAATTCAAATTATATCCCTAATCATTCTGCTATTTCACACTTTTACATCGGAACAGCCACCTTTGCAGCTGGGAACTAGTCAGTAATGATGCTTGGCAACACCAACTTAGCTGTGTTGCCTCCAAACCACCACTAAAAGCAACAAAATTGCATTTTCCCATTTCAAATGAAGTCTTACATTATTCTTCATTACTAAAGCACCTCAGAGAAATCCAAGTTCCAAATACAAGCATGATCAAATGAAAGAATTTTTGTACAGTCTTCTTCAAAAGTAGAATTCTGTTTATATTTTTAATTGATTATTGACTAGGGAAGAAGACTAACTCTTGAGAAAAACGGGAAGAGGGACGGTAGTGAATTAATTACCAAATGATACAATTCCATTTTTTTTTTCCTCTTTATGGTTCTCCAGTGTGGCTTGCTCCTTAACACCATCAGCCTTAACTTGCCTTTAATTTATGATGTGGCACAGAAAAATTAATTTTACGATATCCCCCTTCCAGTAAGAGGCCAAAATAAAGCCTCTAATTTATCTAATGAATTGTTACATGAGTAATTGGAAGATTTTTTACTGGACTGCCTACATAGCTTTCCTAAAACTCATTCCACCTCAATGAGTTTTAAACAGCATGGGGAGAAAAAAAAAATATTTACAGCAAACAGGCCAACAATAAGAAGTAAGCACAGCAGCACGTGTCTGGCCAGCTGTTTGTCTCCGGTCTGTAGAAGCTGTTCTTCCTGAGCCAATACACAGGTTTGAGCACTGCAATGACTCACACACTGATCAGCTGAAAAACACACCAGAATTTTTCATTAGGCTTCTAAGTTACAAACTCCATGAGCAAACTTGTTAATGTAATTTACTGAGTTAAATTACCTTGTAAGTATCTGTACTGAAGTCACACACACAAAATATTAGCTTTGACAATAACCTGTTCAGACCTCTATTCTCAAATGAAACAGTAGTTTACATGTGCTCCTAAAATAAAGAAACTTTTAGCAACAGAACTTTTCTTCAAAAGGTTTAATGCAAACTTAAGTTGTGGTTAACAGTTAGAAAACACTACTAGAAACAATGAAAAAATAGCCATTTCTCAGAACAGTTTTTAAACTTCGAATTAATTTCTGGGATAAGTATTTCAAATATACTGTCAGCTCTAACGTTTTTACTCTGTATCTCAGCATTGTTGAGCTCTAGATCAGACAATCAACCACATTTATTTCAGTTCTGTGACTGTATTTTTAACATGGCATATCAGAACACCGTCATAATTCTATCAAAAGAGCCAAACACACAGAGAATGGATGCTTGTCTTCCAGCTACAGAGTTCTACAGAATTCTGAGTATCTTCCTCTAGATGGCAGTGAAAAACTTCCTGGCAAGGACATACCTAAGAATTTGCATCAGATACCTGTCATAGCAGTTCAATGGAATAGTAGAAGGATTAGTAATTTCTGCAGCCAGTTACACAAGTGTATCCATTACAATTTGCTTTTACTGATTTATAGTTTTGAAGTGTTCACTCAGTAGGTCGAAAAAATTTCCACTCAGTCATAAGACATTTCCTGCCTTATCTAAAAGATAAGAAAATTAAATCTAAAGATAAGAAAAGCAAATTGGCCTTCCTCTATCGTTGGAAAACATTCTTATGATGCTTGTCTGAATTGAAGAAAGGCTTCTATAGGTATGCCAGTGACAAAAGGAAGACCAGGGAAAATGTGGGCCCACTCAGGAAGAAAATGGGAGACTTGGTCATCTGCGACATGGACAAGGCTGACGTATTCAACAACTTTTTTGAAAGATTACTAATAACTATCAGGCAGGAGAGAACAAACACCTAACATACTGCCTAATACTTGAATTTAATGTGAACTATGAGTTATCCAGGTAGACTTGAGAGAACAACAGCCCAAACAGTTTCTTTATGAGAACACCACACATAAAATGTTGTGGAAGAGTTTGTAGTATTAAAACAAGGAGACACTACTGCTTTACCTGTTTCAATTGGAGGAACCTTGCTTTCAACAGCATTTGACATGGCTTTGCTCTCTCTAGCACAGGGTAATTCACCATTTGTTGTTTGACAAGAACAGCAACCTATTAGGCATATACAGTAACAGAATAGTTAGCTTCCTTCACTACCATAACTTATTTTCCAAGTACAACAACATATTCTATACAGCTTTAACTGCTATGCTTAAAAATAACCCAAATGGAGAAAGCAGACTTAATTTTTCCAATTGGCTGAGAGGGTAAATGGATTACACTACTAATATATAGAAATACTTAACATAGCACTACCACCATGGAAGCAACACAAGTACTTTTAGCTAGAGGGAAAACATGGGAAGTGATCAAAAAGGCTATGTACAAACAAGAAGGATTATAAACACATTGAGTAGCAATGCTGCTGGCATACAATTCATTCTCAGAGAGACAGTTACATGGGTAAACAATCTAAGATGCCCAGTGGACTGCATTTATCACATCCTTATCAAGATACCACTACTTACATAAAAAACAATGCATGCTTTTTTTTTTTTCCTGTCCACTTCCCCCACCCTTACAGTGATAACCATCAAAATCTCCTTAGTAATATAAACCTACATCCTTGGGCAGTTATATCTAGATTTTCTTCTGTGCTAGTGTAACACTTGAATGTGTAAACAACTGTCATTCCCAGGTCAGAATTAGATTTGGAACAATTTTTTATTGAATCCTGAGCCATTTATTCTTTTACAAATCTACTTTCTCTACCTCTTTCTGCAGATGGCTGTGCAGAAGATTCTGGAGAAGGCTGTGCAGAAGATCCTGGAGAAGGCTGAGGCACAGTGACTGAAACTCGATTCCCCTCACTCCCTTCCACCACTTCAACCTCCTCCACTTGGCTACGCGGTGAATATGGGTTCAATACCTCATAGCTTGACGCTTGCCTATTTCTGTTCATGCACATAAGTGAGACACCTGACATCAATATACTGATGAACAGAATAACTGCTGTGGTAATTATCTGTTAAGAGAGCAAAGAAAATACACTTAAACACAAAATAAAGGAAAATAGTTGCATATATCTGTCTTTCTAACCTCTGTACTTTCCTAAATATCCTAACAAATGCATCTGAGTAAGACAGTTTTCTATATTTGCTGCCCTTGCATCTTGTGGCACTGAAAGAGCAATGAGTACATGAGACTAACTAATTTTCCTTGCTTGAGTGACTCAGCTTTTTTTTTTTTTTTATACTGGGGACCCCTGTTTACCATGCAATCCGAAAACATCCCCTCATCATCATCATCTTCCCTCTCAGGACCCTTAGTGCTCCAGTTTAAGTTCTGTTCAGGTACCTTTTAATTTCAAAGAGGTATGTGCTTGTCACCCTCTGCCACAGTTCTAATTTCCATGCTTTCACCAATGGGGAGCATCCTATTAATTAACCTTTCCTTCTAATCACCTGCTACCGATACCCAGCGTCCACTCTGAGGCTATTTAATACTTGTGAAAGCACCACATGAATAATCCTGAGATACTCATAGCCTCTCTATCCATAAGAAAGACAGAGGGAAACCACGACAAATACCTATGCTAGTGCACTTTACATCCTCTGATAAGAGGAACTATTTATTGGTAAAAACGGTACTTCAGGCTCAGGGACTTTCAACCCGTGACTGTGCAGAGAAGTCTCCCATAGTGCAAGCAGTCACTGCTACACAGGTTATGTAGATCCTATCTATTACAGACCAAAAGCCATTAATTAGCTACTGGATAGTAACAATTTTAGATAATTATCAAGCGAGACTACAAATTAGTCACCAGGAAAAGGGCTCTGCAATTCATTACCACTCCTAAGCCTTTTCTTTGGGAAGCCTACTCCCTCTTTTTCTTAGTCATAGTTACCTAAACGTGAAGGTCCCTGTTCAAACAAGTTTTCCTAATGGTTCATTACAGAAATACATTTTTATATCAATCTATAAGCATTCTATAATGATACTGTTATTATGGTAGTCTACACTTTTGACTGAAAGCTACTTACATAAGAAGCAAAAAGAGAACACAATTTCCCAACAATGCATTGGACATGGCAGAAGTCTGAAGTGATGAAGACAGAACATGTTCATACCTGGTATTTTCCATAGAAAAAGGCAGAGTCAATACTAGTGTTGTTATGTTCACCAACAATTAGTAAGATTCCCACCAGAAGCGCTGGGATTCTGAAAGAGCAAAATATGAACAAAGTAACATATTTAGCATGCTCCCACTAACTATACAGAGAAAAATCTGCATTAACTTACCCCCATCCAGCTATGATAATAAACCCAATGGGAATCTTTACTGTTTCTCTCTTCCTCAAGAGAAACAAAGAGAAAGACAGAAAACCTACAAAAAAAAAAAAACAACAAAAGAAATGCCTTGTTTATTATTAAAAAGTGAACTGATAATTACAGAATCTAAATGCTCTATGATATGACCTGCCTAATAACTAAGATATTCTTCTTAGACCTTCAAATAGTTCAAAATTCTTTGTCTAATTGTATTCTGAGAAAGTAAAATAGAAACACCTATTATCTTAAAAAAAAATTGTTAATAATTAAGTACTGAAGATATTCTAGCCCACTTCATAATATACACTTATAAATGCTTATGAAGGTTCAAAAGTGTTTAAAAGATATCACAATTACATTTAAGATACAAGTAACTAATTTGTTAAGGTATCAACAGCAGTTGATTTAGACTGACAATCTTAAGTAACCAACAATTAATGTATTCTGTTATGACATTTCTTTAAAAAGTGAGTAGTCATTTATGAAGTCAATGATAAATTTCACAAAAAAATTCCACATATTTTTACATATAACTATATAAGGGAGTATCTTCTGGGAATGCCTATTCTGTTCACCACTCAGAAGCTCAGCAACGTTTCCCATGCTGAAGCAAAGCTAGTATTTATTTTAGGCTACACTAATCATGAGCTACCTATTTCAGCTAAACACAACTTACTCCACAAAAACATCACAGGAATTAAAACTTTAAACTTCTGTACTCAAGACTGGTATACAAGGTCTCCTGAACACCCAAAGTCTCTTTTTTATCGTACATGTAAAATTCTCCAAGTTTCCTAATGCATCTTTCAACTCTGCCTACTTCAAGTAATACCTTCATTAATCATCTACACCTGCAGAACACACACATTGTTTTTTGCAATTGCAATTGCCAAGGGAAAGACATTTTAAAGCTACTCTGGTACTTCCCTTCATTCTGTATTTCCTACTTTTCTGAGGCACAAGGTTTTTAAATCTACTTAATGCTGAATAATTTAAAATCTCAAGTTCTACAATAATTAAAAACTGTCAATAAGCTTTTGAGTAGCTGAAGGGCAACTCACCACATTCACTCTATTTGCAATTGCGTCTGCCTTGTCAGAGTGTTCTGACATGTCTTCTGTTACAAGCTAGCAAGGCTGCTGTATCTAGCGAAGACAAACAAGACCTGCCTAGGTGTAAGCTTCCAATAGCAGAAGCAGTGCCTGACACTTAGCCCAGCGCTGCTAGCACTGCAGCTGGGCACAGCTTACAAGTACGCGCATCTGCAGGATTACATACAAGTGAAAGGAATAATTAGTCTGAAGAATACAATCAAATTATTTCAGTACATCAACCTTTTGTTACAGTACCTAGGTTCTGCCTAGTAAAATCGTACCTGTCCATAGGTAGGTGCTATAAAGTGAGCTGTAGAGGAATATAAATACTAGGATCTGCATGGTGATGTCTTTCTCCTTAACAATGAAATTCCATGCCACCATTCCAATGCAAGCAATAAACTGGAAAGAAAGGTAAGATACCATCATTTAAATTGTGAAGGCAGGATGATAAGAAAAATTGAACACAGTGCAATATTGCTACAATAAGCTTCAAAAATCCGCTCCCAGATTCACTGGAGTGTAATTTTATGAATTGGCTAGTTCTCATAGCAGTAAAGCAGCACAGTAGTAAACTCAATATTACAGTTATGTCACTAACTAGGGTATCCTATCTTTAGGGGATTTTATTAACAGCAAATATTTAGTTCAGATAATCTGGGAGGAAGACAAGTCAAGGAAAAAAATCATAATCTTAATCTTTATATATCTTACTATAAGTAAAATGTAATGCTTTTGTATAAGCACAAAGTAGTCATCCAAAATGATCTGGACATGAAGCTGAGGTCAACAGATGTTTGTTCAGTCAAGAATTATACAAGTTTTCACCCAGAGTTACCTCATATATGACAGTTTTAGTATTGAAGGAATCTGAAAAAATAGGCTGAAATATTACCGAAACAGTAATACTATAGTTCCTTTTTTTTTAAAAAAAAAAGAAAGCTAGCTTTGCTGTTATAGACAAGAAGCACCTGCAACTCTCTTATGTGACTCCATGATCACACCTCAGAGAGTTTACGCTCTTTTTTTCTTTCCAAAAAAAAGTACAAAACACTTCAGAAAGCACTACTGCACAGATGTATTACAAACACAGGCTGCTCTCACTGAATTTAACAGGAGTTGTACAGTCGAATTCAAGGGAAGAAGGAACATGTACTCTAGTTTTCTCTCAGTTTAAATAACACTTAATATTAATCCAGAGCTATTTGGCTTTGCCCTTCCCCAGCCGCCAGCCATGGGCTCCCACATCTCTCCCTTGCATCAGCACCGGCACCTGTCCCATCCCTCAGTGAACCACTTCAGGGAGCTAAACAAGCATGGGGATTAGTTTCCTATTTAGCTCCTTGAATCAGGTCACCAGAGTCAAACACACACTGCTTGCTGGCATTGCTGACTTCAGATTGGCATAAATTAACATAGAAGAGCACGCAACACTATTAGACAGTAACTTACAGTGCTAAAAATATATTTCATAAGCCACTCTCCATTCTGATTACTTATAGTTCTGCTTGAGAATCATGCTACCAGCATCAACTCTAATTTTCTCCAGGGGTGTATTATAAGGCACAGAAATTGGTTAGACAAGTCGCACATTAGATTCCCCTGCCCTTCTTAGATGACTACAAAGATATAACTATAGAAACATAACTTGTAAAAATGTTAAAAATAAGACTTAAAAAAACCCAAACCCAAGACCATTCTTCTTACTACTGACCTGAGCAACAAGTAGATTTGTTGTCATCATATGAGGAAGCTGTTTGTATTTCTTACTCAGAAGAACAACAGTAAGAGACCAGATCTAGAACACACAAGATAACATTGAATTTAAGACTAAACCAAAACCCAGAAGAACAAGATGAGTATTCTGACAGACTAAGGTGAAACTAAATACACAACAAATCTTCTTGAAAAGTTTCTTAGCAACAGGACCACTGTAGTCAGCTCCACACAGCCTCCTGCCAGTCCCTAATGCCTCAGAAAATATGACTAGAAAAAGCAACGCATCTTTGTGTTTTCATGATGGTGAAATATTTCCACAGAGTACCAAAGGCTTGCCTCTAGTGCGCAGAAACCTGGTTGTTCCTCAGGATATAAATGACCACAGAATAGCCTGGCAATTTAGAATTTAAAAGGTTCTACCCCTGCCATCTTTACTGAATCTCCCAAGATTATTTGTGACAGCAAGCCGCAGCGTTCACTTGTGGCTTCCCTTAAAGCAGTTTCAAGACAACAGGACTCCAGTGAGACACCAATTTAAGAAAATTCCAACCACCTCCAACATGGATGTTTTTATTTTAAAAAAGCAAACAAAAACACAATACCTGTAATTCCTATAAAGCCAAAACACAATTTACATTGGACTTCTGGGATAATAACCCCCTTTTTAAGAACTGCACACCCCGAATTTCCAGGAAAGGAATTTGATAAAGCTAAATTGACATTTCCAAGTTAAAAATTTTCACTAATACTCATTAACACTTCATTAAACAAACATTCACTGATGTTTCTGGAGCTGAAGTTTTTACATAGCCTCCACTACTGTCATATCCAAGCACCTCACAAGGTTTAAAGTAATTACTCCCTGTGAGGTAAGCTAGTACTGTTATTCTCACACACCCCATTATTTTTTAAAAAACAAAGGGGGACTAAGGGCGAGTAGCTGAGAGCTCATCCACTCACACAATTTATGTATCAGGCAGCTAAATCCCAAACTCTCAAGCCCTGCACCAGTGCTCTAATTCACTTACACATCTTCCTCTACAGTACAGCTTTCCAGCTGACCCATTGCTAAATCAAGATTTTTAACTTCTTCCTCATCCTTCTGCAACAGGATACGATGACGAAATGTGCGTCTCATCTTATCATGACTCAATTTGCTGCTTATGTATTAATGCTACCCTGACATGACAGCATGGTCTTGTATTTCACTTCACCAACACCTACCAGAGAAACGAGGCTGACAATACTTATGTCAAAGCTAACATTTTGGAGTGCAGATGCCAGCGGGTTGGGGTCCATAGATGGAATCGTCAACAGCCACGCAGAAACATACATAATAGGTGCAGACACAAAAGTGCTTATCACCATGCCTGAGGTAATCTGCAAAAAGGGTCAAACAGAAACAAGAACAGAGTTAATCAGATCTCAGGCTAAATAATCTGCTTTCAGGAACACAACCACTGGCAAAATTGCACCTTTGACTTAAACATACGTAGAGCTTTAAGAAGTCACTGAGTTCTTTCTATGACAAATTGTCTGGAATTTGAGCCAGAACGTATCCATTTTATACATACAGTTAAACTGAAAATTTTAACAAGCTTCTGAAATAGTAGGAATACAGAGTTCCCTACTGCAGATTCTTAAAGAGCGTTTTCATGACTGTCAAATATATTAATGACTGCAGTCTAGGGGTGGATTTACAATGTCACAATTTACTTTTGGAGGTAAAGATTCACAGTGCAAATAAATAAGCAAACATGTACTTACGCAAATACTAATATGCACCAATTAATGAGAAGCCATATATATTTACATTTAATGATTTATAATTTGGCTTCTCATTGTCTTTCTGCTTTCTAGAATTTGCACAGCGATGGAAGTGTGAATTTTTACTCATACCGCAGATCTCTGTTTTAAAAAGATGTCCTCAGTTTGTTGGGCACAAAACTCTATCTTGTAAGGTTTACTTTTAGTGTCATTTTTTCCCCCTTTTCCTTAAAAAAACACCAAAACAAACCCCAACCAAATAAACAAAAAATAGATACATTAAAAACAATGGAAGTCAACAGGAATGTTTTACTGTCACTTCAAGTGGAAGAAAGGAAACAGTTACAAAATTTGTATTTTAAATTGAAAAGATAATTAATCTCTACTACATAAAAAAAGGTGAAATGCATTTCTATTGCAAGATTTAACTGAAAGGCAATGCAACAGAATCAGTTAAAGCATAAGTTTTTTCGGAAGACTTCACTATTAAGCTAGCACTGTTCTTACTGAAGAACTGTCTTGACTTGACATCATTTCTGTTTTTTCCTACAAGAACAGTAGCTCAAAGACAAGGTCTTTAGAAAAAAAACACCAAAACCAACCAACCAACAAACTTACAACAAAGATATAAGTTCTTTACATTTAAAGTTATTCTAGTTATTACTACTAGAGTCACAAATAAGAAAACTATGAGGACTTATTTACAAATGTGTACTATTAAAACATTTGAGACATCAGGAAAGAGTACTTTGCTTAATTAATAATCTGAAATATAATTTGAGATCCGGGGAGTACAAGTAAATCTAAGAAATCTATACTACAGAAAAGCGAATTCATCAAGCCTATTTATTGATTTAAGTATTTCATCAACAGTGTTAAGCTCAAAGTTAGCATATGTTTGGGAAAAGCTAACTACATACAATTCCGACTTCCATATTAAATTGGCTTGCAAATATTGCGACACCAGGTGCTGCAGGAAAAACTCCGTAAAGAAATGCATAGTTTGATAAACTGGTGTGGTTGACTACGCTGTTGCTCTTGTCCAAGAGTTCCACCATTTCTCTACATAGAAATGGCATCATAAGTCTGAAAAGAGAGAGGAAAAAAAGTAATTACCAAAAAAATATTACTCAAGCTATAGTAACAGACTCTTTACTCAGAAAATGAAACAAAAGGAAACTTAAGGCTGGTTTGAATACTATTAATGAAAAGCAAAATACTGACATCACTTTGAATGATTGCCTTTACTTTTACCATAACGTTTACCAGCTGCTTAAAAATTTTATGTCACAAGTTAAACCAAAAAAACCTCATACACAAAAAAATGGTAAAAATGACACCAATCCCTGGGATACAAACACATTCTCTGATTGTACAGACACATTCTTTATACAGACCTCATATTTAGAAAGGTAGAATATAAAAAAACACCTCATTTTTCAACTCTTAAAGTAATAGTAGCTATAAGCAGTCAGCAGCTTTGAAAATTAGATCACCTTTATGTAAGCTGTCTGAAATATAACAAGGGCTCAGGATTACATATCCCATTCTGAAAGTTTTGGCCAGAAAAAAAGCCCTGCATCAATGTTATTCTGTTCACCTGTAGCAATACCCAAGACGTCACATAATAGACTCAGTATGTAAGCCTTACACAGGCTAATTACATAAACTCACCAGTAAAGCAAAGTGGTAATATTAAAAACCATTTTTCTCTCATGTTTTTACAAAATCTGTCATTGAGCTGGTTTACAAATTAGGTCTTTACGTTTGCTAGTTAGTTGTACTGATATTCAAATGCACCTTAAAATTTTACAGTATAAACTTAATCACCAAACAGTCATTCTATTATGTTAATTGTAGCTCTGTAGCAAACAAAATACTTAGTTTACCAGTAACTGAGATATATTCAAGGGAATATAATGATGGCATAAGTTCTAAATACAAGTTGTCATTTATTCATCTTTAAAAGTCAGACAATTTAAGAGCGTAAAGTAATCATTTTTAAGGTCTTCCAATATAGGTTTATAGACAAAACAAGCAAAACCAATTAATTTAGAGATGTATTGTTTAATCCAAAGAAAATGCAACTACTAATCAAATAATACTTAAACTCACTCTTGTCTAACCATTTAAATAGGAAATTTTAATTTAAGCTAGTAATTCCCCATACACCCAAATCACGACAGGTGGCCTGTGGACAGTCCATGAAACCACAGCACCCCTGATTTTTTTTTCTCTGCAAAACCTGACAACAGGTTTGTGGTGTGCAAAATTTCTTTTAAAGGTTAACAGTTGTATACTATCAGAGTTTGGGAAACACTCACCCAAAATACTGCACATGAAACATACTATCACTATAACGATTTTGAGAGAAAAGCCATCTGACCAGCATTTTCAGAACTTAAAACATCTAGAGAACAAAATTATAAAAGTACATAAATCAAACTTACAGTTTAGCTGTGATGAGAAGGATCAGTGCAACAAACATACCCTTTGTCAGTTTTTTTGTTTGTCCCACCATAGTCAGTCCAAGGTAAAAAAGTGCAGAGCCAGAAAATGAACTGCCCAGTCCGTCAAGGAAGTTTTCAAGGTATTCGGGAATTTTCTGGCCGAGAATAAAGTTTGAGGCAATTCCTATGAAGACCATGAATACAATTGGGTTCTGCAAAACTCGAAGGAGTGCTAGGCCCACTATTTTGATTTTGCTCTGTGACACAGTGCGATTATCCCTCCACTTCTGGATTTCACAGAAGATAAACCCCAGAGGGTTTAGCATCATAAGAGATATTGGAGCCACTAGGTAAATGTACTGGAGATACTCTGGGTAAGTGGTTTGATATAAAGCTTCAACTAGAAGACAGGAAATGAAAAGTGATGAGTGATAACATTTCAGTACAAAAAAACATTAATACTGAAATTAAGTCTGAAAACTAGAGAAAACTTATTTCATTATCATTCAGAGGTATGTGCATTTACAATCAATATAAGATAACGTAGTAAGAGAAGTATGCCCAATCACTATTAGGCCACAGTCATCTAATGAACACATTAAAGATCAAAGATTAACTATCCAAACCAATTTAACAATTCTATGAATATTCAACATTTACAGGAAAAAAAGAAATAACGTAACAATCCCACATGCCCTTTGAGTCATTCCAAACACTGAAAAAAATTTGGGTTTTTTGCTGAATTGCTCTTCCTCCCCAGAAAGACGAGAGTCATGGACAATTACATGCCTGTTTGCATGACAAGTTGTTTCTCATCTCACATCTCTGGAATTTAACCAATTTTCAGTGGGTAAGTCAGGTGTAATCTTTCTACACTGATTCCTTACAGCAAAGCAATAACCAAACAAAAACACATTAGCACACAAGTTCATCTTCTGGGACTACTCTGGACAAGAGTTACTGCTGTAGTTTTAGTCCCTCAAGGAACTTTAAATCATAAGCATTTGTTTTCATTGCTACTACATACTTGTGAGTCAAGGTAGAACTGCTTCTTGTTTCAAGTTTGTGCTAATGGCACTTCAAAAATCATGAAAGGACTCTGGAAAAATATACAAGATTCTATCCTAGGGTGAATTAAAAAAACCCCCAACAATATTTATACAGTAGGATTTTGTTTTCTTTTAATTATTACACTCTATATTAAGGGCACTTGTAAAGCTGCAAGGTCTTGAAACCTGCAGAATTCAGATGGTTTTGGTCTCCCTATCATAATTTCATGACTTCCTATTGGAAAATGGAAAAGCAGAAATTATGCACACGAAGCACTTCCTCATATAAGTAGTAAAATAATGTTCAAATTTCCATTACTGCTTCATGTTTGCATTTTAAGAGTTCAAGTGAAATGACTTCATTTTTAAACGTCAAGGTCTATACTGCTGTATTTCCTGTATATGTATTAAATGATTAATTAAATCTACCAAAATTGCTGTTTATCTGGTTAACAACGCAACCTGTGCAAGAACGCCATGGTAATTTTCCATTCTTCTTTGGAAAGATAATGTTTACCTTTTACCTGCCTTATAACGTTATTTCCAATAATTTTCAGAAACATGCAAAGTGATGCTTTCCATTTTAGTTCTTCCTACCCAAGTCAGAGAGAAACACATTCTTCCCCAGGCAGAAGTATCGTAATATACGGGTGCAATTCAATTTGTATTGCAAAGAATATTAAAAAAAAAAAAGGAAGCACTGTTGCATAAATATACCTTTCTATGGGATAACTCAGCACTCTTAAAGTACTAAATAAAGTTTAAGGTTACTAAGTGGCCAACTGTTGCAGGTACTTCCATTTCCCTGTATACTAAACCTGTACTTTTTCAGAAAAAGATTTCCCTCCTGACTATGTTTTTTCAAAATCTAAAAGATTTTTACCTTCATATTAGTTAAGCATCTGGAATGACAGGATCTACTAAGTGCTAAATCAGCAGAATAAACTGACATTATCAATTAGTTTATTCCAAATATATAAGAAAAAGCATTAAAGGGGCTTTTCCTCTTATAAGCCATGATTAAAGTACATATACAAGAGCTCCCTGCCCTAAAATCCAGAATAAACTACAAAAATACCAAGTTTGTGGTTAGTGGCTGCATTTAACAAGCCAGTTTTAAACACTAAATACATTCTAATAAATAAAACCCCTTGAAACATGCTGGACACTTTTTATATAAGTCAAAATTTTCTAAACCCCCAAACCTCAGAGCAATGCTTTTATGCTGCTTTCCACAGAATGCCCATTTCAATCAAACGCAACTAAACACAAGTCACATGTAAATAATGTCAGAGTAAAAAGTCATTAGATTTTGGCAAAGTAAAACTGTATATGTAATACAATATATTAAGATATGTAAGTAATTTAACCTATTTATGAAGTCAAAATGCACTTTCCTAGGTAGCATGAAGTGTAACTACTGTAGATTGCTGAGTCAGTGGGGAAAAAAGTAAGAAATCACTCTTAAGGAATCATTAAGACAGTGAAAATAATCCACAACTACTATCACTGATGAAAAAAAAATAAAAACTTTTTTATTTAAATCAAGGTGCCTGCTTGCTGATCATAACAAAAAATTGAAATTAAAGATATTTTTTAGTACTTAAAAAAAAAAAAAAAAATCGATTTTCCACATCCCAGCTGCTCAAAATTATATATGAATCACACACTAGTTGCTCATGGTTAATACAATTATCATCATTAAAGTCATGATAACTGAGATATCATCCACCCAATACTTCTGCTACACCTGTGCTTTAGAAGTACAGGACCAGAGAGTAGATGAAGCTGTTCTGTCAGAGTTGTATCATCTCACCTAGTAATAAAAACCAAACAGACAAAGATTTCTATCATAGCAATTCTATTTATATTGGGGAATCTGGTAGCAAACCTCTGTACCATTTGTTTTTCACTCCAAACCAACATCAGTTTGTAGTGTAGAACTGTTATAACAGCGATTAGAGAAAAAGAGAGCAGTAATATTTAAAAATATAATCTGTATTTTAATTTTCCTACGTGCAAATTTTTGCTCAACAGCAAAAAAAATAGCATAGTGGTTATTAAAGAAAAAAAATTACATGGGATGAAAAGTCAGGACATTATTTATTCATTTAAGAGTTCAAACTGCCTTTTTAAATAGTGTTATTACAACACACAGATTTGTCAATACTAATTTTTTCCCTTTACCAATTTCAACTGAAGCAGTCTTTAAAACTACATTTCCATTAAAAGATCAAGTTTTGCTCAAAACACTACCTATCACCCTCATACATAAAAAGAAATAAGCAAGATTCTCTTTGTTGCCTAGTCCTGAAAACAGTTCAGAGGAGCCACTACCAGCAAAAAGTCTGCACGCTTCAGAGCATGAACCAAACCCTGGTGAAAGTTTGGGGATGGGAGAAAGGAAAGGACAGGAAAGGAAATAAAAAGCTCTAAGAAACTAACAACCCTAAGCACCAACAGTGTTACTGGTTTATTAAGTATTCCAGTAAAGCTCTTAGTGAACGAGAAGTTGTGCATTTGGCTAGATTGTACATGGAAGAAATATGAATCATATTTTATAAATCACTAAGTACTTGAAGAAAAAAAGCAATCTGACAAGAAAGTCATTCAAAGTAGAAAGAATGTTTTAACCAGAAGGATACAATGGAAATATGTTCAGACAACCTCAAAATAGAAAAAAGAGAAACCCTAATTGGCATTTTAATCCAGTACCAACAAAGAAAGACGTAATCCTCACAGCTTTATTTGCGATATACTTCTAATTTCTCTCAAGAGGAATACGGCTCAGGAGATGCAACTGAGGGAAACAAGGTATTTTCATCTAGTGAAGTAAAAGTTTGCAGTTTCATTTGTCTGTATGTTATACGCATCCAGCAAATTTGAAGAGAGTAAGAAACACTCAAGATTCTCCTGAGCACGCTGCCCCAGAATAGGGAGAATAAACCTGCCAACTCCTCAAATAATCCAAAATATGGAGCTACTTGTTATGTAAAATGTGGAATTGCATGTTTAAGCTTCTCTTTTGTAACTGTATTTTCGATTTGGTAATCAAATATCTTGCTTTTTGCTTTGCTAGAACAAACTTTCTTTTTTTTTGTTCTTAACCTTGTGTGGATAAGAGTGATCTCAAGAGAATTTGAGAGGCACAGAGTAGTTTCTCTTCAAGGAGCAGCAAACAAATAAAACATAGTCCAGCCATCCACTCCAAATGCCTTCCACTTGAGGTGTATTTTGAAGTTCCTGATACCTGCAGCGTGCATTCCCACACCAGCTACACAGTCAGCCTGGGGAGAGGCAGCACTGAAAGCTGCGTTGGCACAAAAGAGCCTCACACAGCAGGTAAAAAGCGCTGCAGTTCAGATAGTAGCAGGAGGGAGAAGCCTGCTACAACTCCAGATCACTTCCCAAGTATCATAGCATGTATAGCTAAAAGCATATTAACATACCTTTGGCAGGAAGAGAAGTCTTAACAAAAGGAAAGAAAATAATACTCTTGCAGATTGGGACAAAATTAAGTTTAATAACTGCTATTGCTTGGAATTCAGAATATAGGCTTACAAGAAGAAGAGTACACAGCTATACAAGTTTAACTCTGAATGCCTCTGATTTTTGTTTGTTTGGTTTTTAGCCCCACTGGACTAGTGGTTAGTTACACATCCCAAGAATGGCACCGCAGCCGCATAAAATTCCGATTTAAGATACACAAATGCAAGTTACCACAAATCATGCAGCAATCTTGCTTTTAAAAGACAGACTTCTTCCAAGACAATATCCTAAAGCATGTCTACTGGCCACAATAGAATAAAGATTAAGGGATAAAACATGATTGGCTACATAACTTATGTTAAGCAGCACAAAAATTAGAAGTTTCTTCTGAACAGATTTAAATTTTGTCACACACACTCCACAACCAGTAGGCACCAACGTTATGGCTAGATGTTTTCTTTGAGCTAAACCAAGAGGTAATGCCAAATTCGTAAAAAATCCACTGCATCTATTTCAGAGGCCATAGGTACAGGCTCATACTTTGCAAAGCAAGAAATTTTGGTCTTGAGGGAAACTCTGGCAACTCCCATAACAGCATTCTTAACCTGCAGTAAGTGTAAGGTAATTTATACCAATTTTGAAATGATATTTTAAATTCTTTTTTTTTCCTGTTTAATCTGATTTACTTTAACGTGACAAGATCACATAGACAATAGTAGTTGGATTGTTTTAAATCCCGTCTCATTCATACCAGATGACAGTTTTCTTCCCGTCCAACTTCAAGAAATGTGACTTGAGAAATGGCTCGGATAGCTCATAGCTTCAGTTCAGAAGTCAATTTCAAATTATGGACAAATAAAAGCAAACACTTTGGAACATTGAAAAGTAGTTTTAAAGAATAAAGCACAAGGAACTACTTACCTATTGGATATCCCAGTGCAAAGTCATTGCTTTGTGTAGCAAAAATAGGGAACAAACCTGCTTTGCTAAATCTGTTCTCAGGACTGGCTACCAACAACGTTAAAACACAGACTAAGAAAAAGACAGCAGCTTTGGCAACTAAAATACTGTACAGGAAGGACCAATTCACATTAGAAAAGTTCAGTACCACCATGTTTTTGAACAGTAGAGCTGGGAGTGCAAAACGGGACACAAAATTTCCCAGTCCTTTGGCCTGAGTTGTTGTGATTATGTTGGCTCTTCCAGCTATGTAGCCACAGAGAATTATTCCAAAGCATTCTAACAGGGCTGGAAAGAGCCTGCTTATGGACATGGAAGGAGTACCGCCAGTGGTATTGAGTCCAACTTGTCCAGGCAAAGAAATAGACATATTAGCTGAAGATGAGAGGTTATTTGTACTGAAGTCTGAATAGTTATCCATTTCCTTTGACCACCTCTTCCAAAAAAAGAACTTGAAATGATCTCATCTGTAAAAGAAACAAAAGTATTTCTTTATTAACTTCCAAATCTGTGTTTGTGAATATTTATGGTATCAGGCTTGCTGACAGAAGAGTTTACACTCATGAGTACATTACAAATAAATAATGAGACAAATAATAAATAGCTACAGAGAAACAACTCTGAGAAAGAATGCTAAAAGATCATTCCATATACACATCATCTTCACATATCATCTTCTCACAAGCCCACACAATTCAACCTGACAGTTGATAGAGCTAAAAATTCCCAAATAAATTTGAGGGTAACATTGAAATATTAAAACTAAATGTATGTTGGGCACTCAAAAAGCAAAAAATCTGTTGGAAGGAAAGGAGATATAACAAGGATTTTTTTGGTTATTATTCTATGATCTAAACATCATTTAGAATAAATTACAGCCCTTCAGCACTTTCCAGTCATTGTTTCAGAAAATAGTAATTTCTAAATTCTCAGTGTACCTTCCTTGCTTTCTAGGACTACAAGCCTATTCAACTCTCTTACAGGAAAGCACAAGACTCTTTACATACTTGTTAGCAGCTTGTAACCCTTCTTACCTCCTCAGCTCACTGTCGATTCCCAACTACAATTCTCACATACTCTTTGATTTCAGCTATCAAATTTTTAGTTTTCTTTTCTAACTCCTTTTGTTTGCCCCAGGACATCTTATCTCAGGTCCTCCCTAAATCATATGCTCCTTGGGTTCTTTTTTCTTCACAGTAAAAATACACTTTAAACTCCCAATATAAAAATCCCATCTTTGTCCTCCCTTTAATGACTGCTGTTCACCTCTGCTTCCATGCGCTCAGCTTTATGTGTGGTTGGGAGTCTTCCTTCACATCCATCTTTACATCCTATTTAATCCAGGTTCTACCCCTGAAAGAAGCTCTTAACAAAATTCTGAGAGGCCAAAATCTTCTTAGACTCTCAGACTTGGTATTCCATTTTCACCCTTTGTGACCATCACACACCTTTATCATAACCATCCTCTTCTTGAAATTTTGCCCTTCCCATATCTTTTGTAATTACAGCTCCTCCTAATTCTCCTCCCATCTCTACTTGTTCCTGTAACATTTACAGGGGAGGATCCCTCTAAATTTCTGTGGGTGCTGATAGGGCTCCTTCCTTGTTCCTCTTTTGTCTCCCTAGATCCTCTGCCTGTGTATTTTCATAAGCACTTATTCAATTATAAATAGATCTCTCTTTCTAATCCAGATCTATCTTCTTCTGTTAAAACTATCATTTCAGCCTGTCTCCAAGATCTTTTGTGAATATTCTGCCGTCAGTTCAAGTCCAATGGGCCTCAAACTGTTCTCCTCCTTCCAAAAAGACACCCCCTCAGTTACTCTGTACTGTGTACCTATTTTGCTAGAGGCAAGAAACAAAGGTTACAAAATCCTCTAATTCAAGGGAAATGCAAATTTACGGAACTCATATTCATCTATAACTGTTGCAAGGAAAATCTTCATAGCCTATTAGTATTAGTTCTTCTTTTGTACGTCCTTCTACAGATTTGTTCTCCACACATCAAAACCCCTTGCTTTCATACTATTTTACAGTTTAAGCTTATGCCCTCTTAATATAGCACAGAATAACAAAAGGAATAGCCCTCACATGAACATAAGCACCAGGCAAGGAAGATAAATTCAACCAAGAATTGTACCTTCTCCACCCTGGCACAAAAACATTTAGCAAGGCCCTCACTACCTTCAAGAAAGATTTAGAGATCAAATCATATTATCACCCTTCGGGCTTGTACCTTGCTTTGTGCAACTTTGACCTCTCCCAGTCATGTGTATCACGTACTAATCCTACACTTTCCAGTTAGCAAGGGATCCACATAGGACACAGTGGCCAATGATCTATTTCATCACGCTATTGCTTACCCATACATATAATTCTTTAGGCCCGTAACAGTGACATTTAAGTATGCATTAAATTTATGTACAGCAGATATGTATGGTGACTCCTGATCTTCACTTGTTACCAGTGATCCCCCTTGAAAGGGCTGACCACAACACAGCAGGTTCTATATAGAAGTAGACAAGTACATTCTGCAAATCAGATGAAGAGAGAGGATATCAAACACAACAAGTCGGTGGTCAATAGCAAGGTGTTGCCAGAAACAAATATGGGTTTGGTGATATGGCTCTGAAACATGTGCAGTCCATCAGCTAACTCTACATATAAAATTTTGACATGACTAAATCCTAAAGTACTCTGGAAAGGAAGTCAAGATAACTTACCCCATTTTGTAGAGGTAGAAACTAAGGAAAAGGCAGGCTGACTTGCTGTAAACCATTTAACATCTCAGTGGCAAAGCTGAGATTCTCAATTCCCAAACTAGTGCTTTGTACAGCACAATGGCTAGATCTGTGCAAATTAACAACTGGTTTAAGAGTCTTCCCAGCCTCTTTGCATCCTGTCCTCAGGGAAATAGAGAACTCGTAACAGCCAGGTAAAGAAGCAAGTAAATCAAGTCAGAGCAAAGGTGAGCGAGATCTTGTACCCTCTATTTCACACCCTGGCATCCAGCATGCACATATTCAACTGTAGCATAAACTCTTTGACTCATAACTTTTATTTATGCCTGAGGCTTTTAGTAAGCAATCCTGCAATGCTGTTGTAATTTATCTGGACTGAGCAGCTGCATCATCTAAATCTGTCCAGTAGCCTTGGCTACCTCTTCTCCCAAGGAAGATGAGTCTCACTCTAAGTAGGGCTTATTTTAAAGGTTGTATTTTTCTTACGTTATAGATGATACACTTGCCTAGATATACTTGAACCAGGAGCTCAAAGCATTATCTACTACAGAATGATGGAGAAAGCATGCAATAAATGAAGCAGACGACAAACCATTTCTTCTACTAGCAAAACTTAAAGAAGTTGTTGAGATTTGCAAAATGCCCAAAAGAGGATCAGAGACAGATTCCCAACACCGAATTCTTGAAAGAAGCCAGCCATGTTACACCAGTGGCAAGGTGAAAAGCAGGTTTTTGGCACAGCCCCAACTCAAATTCTTCAAGCTTGCGGAACTGCATAGAGGTAAGGCTCCTGGCAACGCAACATATTCAACCTACTCCCTGCTCTGTTGAGATTTTTTTTTTTTTCAGCAATAAGAGAAATGTGAAGTTTTTTTAACCAAACGCAACATTCGGTCTGTAGTGGAAGTGTATTCTGGTCATATTTATCCCTAAATTCTACCATTCCTTCTCATCGCCTGTGCCTTCCTATCCAAGGCCGTATCTTTTACCACGTCAATACTAATGACAAAATTTATTTTCTGATATTCTTACCCACAAAAGCCACAGCCTACGTACAGTTATATAGTGGGAAGGACTTTTACCATGACAACATCTCATTCCTCTCTCTCCTGAAAAGTGGTTTGAGCTATCCAGGCTTTTTGCTTGCACAAACTAAGCCTTCACAGGTAAGCCTTATCAATATAGCTACACAAGCCCATACTTTTAAACCAAAATTATGCCTAAATTAAACAAACACCTCTCTTCCCTCTGTATTAAAATTATTATTTTTCCTCATAAAATCGCTACAAAATATAGAAGTGCCCTTGTCCCCATTTTATAATTCAGGACTTAAATAAATATGCAGAAGACTGACTCCTTAGTTCTATCAGTCAGTAGCATGTAATATATCCTGCATCTTCCTCACTTGAATCAAAACTGACATGGATATACACCCACGCATCCTACAACCACTTTTTGTCAAATGCCACAAATATTCCTGCATTCTTCCTTCAGGCTATCTTCACCTTGAACTTCATTGCAAGGGACCCTGTAAAGTCAGTCAGGCCCAATTTTTTGTGAACCACATAAGTTTCAAAGAGAGAAACTGCATCACAGTAAAAGCTGCTACTGGCACTCCTCAGAGGGCTTTGAGTGTGAATCACCTCTTCAGCTCCAGAGATGCGCACATCCGAAAACATTCACATTTAATGCAGATTAGCTATTGAAGAGCAGTGGGTGTTTTCCAGAAATGCAAACTCTTGCACAGCGTGCTACTTAACACAGTGAATGCATCTCTCGGCCCCTTTTGCTCTATAGGATACATGCATTTACATAACTGTTGTGAGATTATGTAATTACTAATCGCAGATTTAACATACAGCCTTATCACACCTGGGACTTAAGCTAGCATCTCACATGAGTGAAAGTCTTCAGTTCACAGTTCTCAATGAAAACAAAAATATTGATCTGATGCAAAACCAAAACCTTATATATCCTACACAGAAACTAACGTGTTCTTACAGCAGATCTAACAAATTAATTAGTCAAATGACATTACAATAAGGAAATATAACACAGCCCCAAGGGAAAGCACTTAGCTTTGACTCCATAGGACATATGATTTGTGGTTATCCTTTCAGAGATTGAGGATTGAGATTTGAATCCTTGAATAAGGAGCCCCAGCTGCATTGTTGGGAACTAGAGGCCAATAAAGACAGCGCTTTCAGGAATAACGCTGCCTTATCTGCTGTCGACTGTGTGAAGCATAGCTGCTTGCAGCCAGACTGCCAGCTTGCATTTGTAAGGAAGGACAGCACAGCCAGCCCAAGAGGAAGCCTAGTATGAAGACCAACAACAGACAGAGAGCAAGGAACAAGTGCAGTTTACAATTCCCTTGAAACAAACTGGAGCACTGGTATTTGCCCACTTCTCTTGCAGGTTGTCAATATTTGTAAAGTGTTAAAATTCACCAGACCAGAAACTCAGTTCTCCAGCAGCTGTGAGTTAAGCAATGTCAGATTCCTCTCCGAGTACCAAAATAGAGAAGTTGTCTCCTTTTCCAGCAGGAAAATCCCTTTCATCTTCTTTTTCAATGAAAGTCAAAGATGGTATGAGAGAATAGAAGAGATACCTCAACGTACATCTTCCCTCTGGTCCTTCACTCTCAAGCTTTCAGCTGATAATCACTCTCAGGATAATT